TCACTGGCTGAGCGAGGTGCGGGCGCAACACCGAGGGTTGCGATCCCGTTGCTGGTCCCGGTCCGGTACGGGCACGACACTGAGGGTTGCGATCCGTTGCCGGTCACGAAAAAAGGAAAAAAAAAAAATATATGTGACTTGTACTCAGTCTTACAATATAGCCTAAATTTTTTCTGGGATATAGCCACCTTCTTAACTGGTCAGAAATCAGGCAACTGATTTTTAAACTTATCATAAAAGTTTAATGGTATTTGTTTGCTAAAATTAGAGTCTCATCCTTTAGATCTCTTTACCATCTCCTTAACACAACCTAAACGAAAAATCATGAAAGAATCTTTAACCTCAGGACACTTGATAAAAATGAGGGATAAGCCCAGATTCCTATGTATCTATCCTTAGCCAATTTTCATCCAAGTTGGGTTGGTCTGTATTTTTTAAAAAGTAAACTGAATCTCCAGGAAATTACTGCATGTTTTAACATTTTAAAAGAATTTTTTTTTTCCCTTTTTGTCTTTTTTCGTGACTGGCAACGGATCGCAACCCTCAGTGTTGCGCCCGTACCGGACTGGGACCGGCAACGGGATTGCAACCCTCGGTGTTGCGCCCACACCTCGCTCAGCCAGTGAGTGACCAGTCTGTATGTGGGATCCGAACCCTCGGCGGGAGCACCGCCGCGCTCCCAAGCAGCGTACTGTAGCAGTGCACCACCGGGCCGGCCCAAAAGAATTTTGAAGTTAATTTCTGATATCACCCAATGACCTATACAACCAGTTCTTCAGAAACACATAGCTGGACAAAACCCTGAATCAGAAGAGGTTTTTCTTTTGTTTTGATTTTTAAATCACTACCTTTTATGTTCCAGGTCAATAAAGTCATTTCCAACACACTCGATGTATTCAATGGGGATCAAAATGACAGTCCAACAACTTAATTAACTTTCAGGGAAGGAAGAACTCCCTGATCAGTGTCAGTGATGTGGCAGACACCTGATCTTTAAGGATAAACACTGGGTGGCAAGAAAGGGTCAGTCTATTACCAAACCATCAGTCTCTTTCCTTGACCACTGTTACCACCCTCATTCAAAAAGGAACTATGGGAGTTGATTAGTCATAGTCCCACAGAAATAACTGCCACTGTACGCACAATTTGCAACACTTAGATAGACAATTTTTTTTTAACCATAAGTTGAACTTAGGCTTGCAAATTATTTTGCCACATCATTTTCTGCACTGACCAAATTACAGAAGCTAGCACAGTATCTTATACATGCCAAGTACTTAATAAATAGGTTTTTAATTGAATGATTAATTATCTAGAGAACAGAATAAAGTGCTCTCAGCTGCAAATAGGTCAATAGTCTGTGAAAAATTAAAGATTAAGTTATTCCCCTTACCATCAGGTTAAATTTTTTGAGAAGATGAAGTTGACATGAAAAGATGATGGTACTGCACCTGAGGGACAATTCTAAGCTCCCATGTTATATTGTCCTTTGCTATCTATAAGTTTCTGTAACACCAAAAAGCTTACTCAACAACCTTGTTAAAATATTTTTTTATTTGTGCCTGATACCATAAAATAAATTCTGACCTATATAATCATTTAACTGAATTAAAGAATTGTTATGTACACATATACTTGCCATATATAGCAACTGTCTTTAAACAGTAAGATAATTTCATGTAACCAACACAAATTAAGAGACAAATACCATAGGCAAAGGGAAAATAGTGAGGTAAAAACACCAAACATCCTACATGTAAATTTGGTTATGATTAGGAATAAACACTTCCTTGGTTATCAGAACCATGGAATCTGCTACTCTAAAGATTAACTTTTTTTTTTTTTTGTTCCTTTTTGTCTTTTTTCGTGACCGGCAACGGATCGCAACCCTCAGTGTTGCGCCCATACCGGACCGGGACCGGCAACAGGATCGCAACCCTCAGTGTTGCGCCC